GTTTAGTTCATGTTCTAGTTATATGTGGGTAGACAGCGGGTCTCTGCGTAACTGTCTGGCCTTTTTTGAAGCTTTCAACAGATGGGGTGGAGACTAATTCTGCTGGTAATTCATTCCAGTTCCCGCAAACTCGGCTGGAGAAGAAGTATGAGCGGACATACAATACTAGACCCAAATTTCCCCCTGCCGTTCATCCCAGTGTTTAACTGTAGATTCACTTGCCATCTGTAGACAGTACAAACTTGTTGAATACTGACATATCTCCAGGTTCCTTTGTTCTCAACATTCGGCATACGATGTACTCTTTTAGATTACGTGACTCACTATTACTGGGATACTTCTTATACTGACAGATTATACTCCCATTACTTTTCGTCACTGCCATTTAACGATATGGCTTTTATCCACAATTTGTGACCAGCAACACCCAAACAACTGTTTACTTCAGAAGACTTTGCAAGGTGCGACGAGATGTTTCGTTCTAAACGGTTACAGCTTCAATAAGGAAATAACATTTAGATACTGCCTGTAAAAATGGCATGTGCTCGTATAATTCATTATTCAAAATATATTATCGTAATTACTAGCGCTCAACTCAACCGCTGTGCCTAATCTCATCATTTTCGCACTCTCTCTTCCTTTCTTTTCCTACCCTCCAATCCTTCCGATTAATTTTTCTTCCTTTCTTCGTCTTCCACTTTACTGCCCTGTTACTTGATATGCTAATATGAGGAACAGCAACTTAGGTTGTTACACAGTACTGCCCGGTCCTATGTCGATTCCTCTTTAAATGGTGAGGGGCTGCAAGTCACCTAATGCAATAAAAATAGTCTGCTCATGGACCACAAGGGCCAGGGGGACACCGCTGGGCTGAGGGCAAAAGAAATCGTAACGAACACGTACGAACTATTTAAATGGGCAAGGAAAACATGCACGAGGGCACTGAGGGCCGATTGTTAGAGACATGAAATTAGACTTACAAACATATTTGTTTCCAAACAGAGACGTCTGTTTCGCTCCACTGCACCGTTCCGACATGTTGAGGCAGGGGCCACCCACCCATCAAGACCCATGATATAACTGGTAGCAACACTGAACCAGTTGGAACCCTGGATTACCGGTATCGGTGAATATTTTCATCGTCAGCCACCTCATTTGACCGATTATTATTACTATTATTAGTCCCTTGGGTTCCTAGTGGAACATAGGGCTTCAGTAGCACGTCTCCAGTGAACTCTGTTCTCTCAGATCTTTTGAACCTGGTCCCATGACAGCCCAGAAGCTCTCATTTCCTCCTCGCACGACCTCCTCCATGTCACCCTTGGACGTCCAACTCGTCGCTTCCCTTGGGGATTCCACTCGAGTACTTGGCCTGACGCGTGATGTCCTCAGTCGGCCTTCTCAGTGCATGGTCAATCCATCTCCACTTCCTCCTGCATATTTGTTGCGTGATAGGTTCTTGGTTGGTTCGTTGCCAGAGCTCCTTGTTGCTTATTCTTTCTGGCCATCTGATCTTCAGTAGCGAGCGTAAGCGATACCCAAGATGAAATGGGCAGTCCTGCAAATTTGAGCCACATAACGCCAGTCTCCAAAACGAGGGGTCAACGGGTGAGGCCGAAGAAATGTGGGCAACCAGCACCCTTATCAATATCTTCCGAAGTAATGGAGTCGTTAACTTGCGATGGACTGAGGCGTTACCCTAAGAGGGTGAATTTCTTTACGCCCCGACAACATGGATTCAAAAGACAGTGCTCTTACGGCTGCTAGCCTACCTACCGTGGTAGATGGGTGGGCCTGAAATGTCAACCGTTGAGGTGGAATTAATGTTATTTATCTAGACATTCCTAGAGAGTCTGGCAGTAGGTGTCCTCATATCTCCAGGGCCGATTATTTTGAGTATGTTTTTCTATGCCTGAAGAAAGGGAATGTTCAAGAGAGTTTCCCACGTTTCAGTGTAAAGGTTCCCCAGTTCTTAACATGTATAAACGACTTACTTAAGTGGCTTTATTCTGAAATCCTTTGTCCTATCAACGTCATGTAACTGCGAAGAGAGATCAAAAGCCAAACGGATAGTGTTTCATCAAAGAACGATCTAATCCAACTTCAAAACTGGATGATCAGCACTAAGTTTGCACTTAGTTCTGAAAGATGCAAGGCGGTACACCTAAAATAGGGCGCATGTCATGCACATAGACTCCACGGCATGGTACCTAAAGCTCCATAAGTAAGGAAAGATTTCGGCGTTTTAGCTCCTCAAAACTTTAAGTCCTATGTCTGTGAAAGAAATGAATTCTGTGAAACTTGCTGTTACCAACTCTTATATGATTTTTTGGACAGTCCGATGATAGACGTTAAGACTAGATTTTCAACAGTTTCATGTGGCCTCAGACAGAGTTCGGGACTATAGTCTTTGACCTCTCTAGATGTGGACATATAATGCCTGGAATTCATCCAAAGGCGGTCGATGAGATCTGTTCGTGGACTTGGTTCTGAGACGAGTGAAGAATGACCGGTGGTGCTTGATCTACATCCACTGGACTATAGAAACTCGGGGAGCGAATTTAATGATGGTTTATAGCATCCCAAACACCAATCAACACTCACTCCCTCACTCACTGAACCTAACTGGTAACACCAGTCTTAGAGGATACGTACGGAAACTAAGCCAAGAACATAACACTTTAGATATAGGGTACAAATTCCACTACCCATGAGTTGTTCCGTCATGGAACGCTCTTCGTCCGGAAGTGGTTCAGGTCACTTCATCTGAATCCTTTAACCGCGAGCTTTAGATGTGGATGAGGGGTTCAATGAAAACTAACTTGATTTTAATGATTTAACCGCTGCTTTTGCCCTCAACTTGTGCACAGGTTGACAACTACGAGATTCAATGACTCATTGGTTCTGCACAAGGGAGCCACTAAGGCTAAAGCTTGTCCGATTCTTTTGAAGCAAGAAGTCCTTAAACCTCAGCCGAATCATTTGAGTCTAGAGATGAGCTTCTGTCTTAGAGTTGCGATTCACTGGGTTGCTTCACAGGAGCATACAGCCTCTGCTGGTAATTTCACCGTTTGGTCAGATCTCTACGATGCCATTGCTGGCGAAGAGTAATCCAGGTCTTTCGTCGACTATCCTTATTCCTAAGAAATTAAACCTTATTTGGGGGTCCAAAACGTACTCGCGTCACAGGACCTGAAGAGAGATGTGGACCTCCTACAGAAACCCCAGGGGCGACGGAAGAAGGCTGTTGTGGGAACGCGGCAAAATCCTATGAGGGCAGACTGAAAGACCCAGGGCTTTCTCTCTTAGTTACCAAACGTCTCGTGGAGACTTGATAACGGCCTGCGAAATACTAAGTAATCCACAGCCACCCTTTCCGCAGTTCTAGATACTACTGACATAGTGTTCATAGGTCACTAGTTTTCATTATTTTTAAAACGATAAACCTGTTCTCATATTATTCAATTAAATGAGAGTTATGGACTTGCAGGCCTTATTATATTGGTAGTATTCTGAGGAATAAAGCCCCTTACTGTCCTGTTTACAGCACCATCAACATTATCTGCAAGTTATGATTGGACAGGAACATATTTGTGAAATTAGACTATTTTTGCTGCGTTTACCTTCTACGGTTGCGACCAGAAATGTCTTAAATTCGATATCTGCATCATTATGAGAGCTGTTGAATGCGGCTAAAAGCCTATGACGACAGGGTGAATAACCTATCCCATTAGTGTCTTTTTGGGATTTGTCCTGGTGCGAATTTGACAGACGCAAAGACCAATCACTAATTATTTGGACTTGTTATATACCCACAAATACGAGACCAAGGAAGAACACAACAGCGTAGTCGGATGGAATAGTATATTTGGATGGTTATGCCAAAATACCGATGCTTTCCAACTAACTGGCTAGAGAGTCGAATACGAGCAGTGCAACGTAACACAACAGCGTGCCAAATGGCGAGGATGCTTGACCGGGTGCCTTCAACTTAGCGAGTCCAGTTAAACTATCAAGGTCAGCCTCAATGTCGAAAGTCGTCAAACCCTAGGCTATTGATTTTGGGGAAGTGTATGACGCTACATCTTAATTATCATAATTTTGGTGGCGACTCGATAACTACTTGCAAAATACTAAGAGATTTAATTCATCCAAAGAGTGGAATCCCTATGAATGGCCACTGTTGCAGCCCTCCTGGCAACCTAAGGAGAATAGCCCATAAAAATGAGAGAACCTTTATTTGTTCAGACATTTTCCTTGAGCTTGCTGCCATGAGTTGGCGTATGGGTTATGCTCATTCAGCTGGCATATGAACAAAGTTGGTGCAACCTAAAAAACTCCATACAACCCACTACAGTCAACTTCCATGCAGAGTATTTTGTGTCCCACTACCATCATAAACCTAACCTTATATTTCCGTGCCTGACGTCTCACCTCCAGTCACGACACCCCTAATAATAACATCAGCATTTCCATTCCCATAATCCGTCCTATAATCTCATATGTTTCTTCTCCTCCCTCTGATTCCGACCTAATCCTCTCCATCAAGATTCTTCTTGGTACTTTGACCTCATATGAATCTGTCTAGGTTTCACATACCTTCTGTTCAGCCTCTTTTCACCATGGTTTCTACGCATTTCATCTGCCTTGGTTACACTGGACATCTTTCCTACTTTTACAACCACTCCACACATTTTCCTAGTGGTACTACACTTGGGGCGCCCATCTGGACCACAGTTTTCTGGAAAATCAAACAGTCCCTACAAATTTAAACGACACTCAACCGTCTGTCAGGCCAACCACAGCCACAGCAGGTGAGTGGGTAGACTGACTGCATCGGAATCCATCAATGACCTGAAACCATTCTGCAAGATCTGGAAGTGAGCACGAAGAAATCAAATGGTTGACACTAACTCGCTAAAAGGTATTGGATATTGGATTGCTACCATTGGATAAATGTCACACGTAAAACAACATTTCTGTCCTTCGCTCGGGCGGCCATTTTCTCCCGGGATTTGTCGACATGCTCTGGAATGGTTTAGCATCTATAATTTCTTTTCTTTGTGTCTGATGGAACGAGATTTTATCATGTCTGTTTGCGGTGAGGATGAGGACTTGATCAACAGAGAGTTTCCTGAAAATGAACCCGAGAATGTAGAGAAAAGGTAACCACTAGGCATTAATTTAACATTGTAGTGATATGAAAAAGGTTCGTATTTTTGAACTAGAAAAAGCAATCGAGGACAAGACTAGAGAAAGGAACAACCTGAGTATGTCGTGTATTCCTCTTATTCCTCACTTTCAGGAGAAAGATTGCGTCATGTTCTGCGTGAATCTGAACGTATGGATACCCTGTTTCCGTTAAAATTGGAATCCAAAGAGAGAGAACTGCGGCATTTCTTGGTAATTCATGTTTTCTGAACGCGTTTACTTCACATAACCGTTTTTAACCATGAACTGATGTGACGTAAAGTGGATTTAAGTATTTTGGTTGTTCCAAGTTGGCACCGGGTGATTGGGGTATACTTTCCTAGTTACCGTCTCACTTGTAGTTACGTAAGTTGTAGAAAACTTTGTCACTCCGTTTAGGTTTATACCCGTTATATTGGATGGTAGTTTGGTCATATTGGTTGAGGCTAGGGTAGCTAAGCCCATCACGCAACTAGTCTCCATATCTCCTAGTATTGAATCACTAATTCGCACATGCCTGAACCCCAAAACTAGCTTACAATATTTAACCCTTGTTCATATGGTGTCGAACATATTGAAAGTTGTGCTTGTTATCGTCATAGTGGTTATAAGTATACATGTTATCGATTACAAAGGCCACTCCTGCCATCTTATTCGTTATCTTTTTGTTTCACCATCATATCATCCCAATACTGACTAATTTAAAAAAATAAATGATTCCCTTCTAATCTCTAGACCTCACCTCGGTTTAAAAATGTAACTGCCCATAACAGCCTGTTTTGCACCGTACAAATGCATTTTATAGTTATAGAACGTGCAGAGAATTTATTGAAAATATTCTCTGTTCAAATTGGTGCTTTTTTTAAATATTGTGGGGATCTTTAGTCGTTTGAAATTCTATGGTTGGTGTGCTGGTTAGCCTGGTAGTGGCATCGTATTTACATCTCAGAGACAGTAGACCCGATAAGATGAGGGTATTGTGTGTGGTGCTCTTCAAATGAAAGTACTGATGCGACGGATATGTGCGGAAGTCCCCTGTTCAACCAACTCCCGATCTGAATACTAAGTGTATTTAAAAGCAAACGTCTCAGGACGGTGCCAATAACCTACAAAATTGATGCAGGTCCTCGCACAAAGTGCATCGGTTACCACGCTTCATCAGAGTGCAGTGGCGTTGATAGAAAAGGGGGGAAGTAAACATAGCTGTCTGGGGAGGGGGGTGAAGGAATTTGAAAATAAAGATTAGTGGAAAATTTCGGACTTTAAAGTGAATACACCTGCTCCACTATGACTGATTTTTAACCATGTTACCAAGATTCTTCAGTCATTGATCCTTATTTCCTCGAAGACCAGTAATAAGCAGACTACACCCCTATATAGTGTTCAGACTGAAAGTCAGCTTTCGTGAACTAGTACCACATTTTGATTTGGTCACAGCCTTCTTCCAACCCAGTCCTGCTTCAGTTAACCTCAGACGTCGAAGTAGGGAGTGGCATGGTATGAGCAACACATTCAACAACCCACCTAAGTTGGTCAAGGTTCACAACCTCGTCAACTGGACTCCTCTGCCTAGTACCCCTCACCTAACCTCGACATTGCTCATAGTGATCCCATCACACAGTAACAATGTAATGAATACACATGTAGTCGAAAACCTATCATCTCTTCATATCGTTTACTGTCAACGACCGTATCTCAGCTGTATGGTAGGACTGAGCGGATTGTAGCACTGTATACTCGTCTTGTAATGGATAGTCAGTAATCCACCGGTGCTCGAGATAGAGTGAGCTGGAAATGTCAACCAATTCTGAAGGAGGCTGTGTGTAACTTTCCAAAATTTAATCGGTGATTTCTTTCCGGAATAAGGTAGTATCGTTAAAGGGGCTGCTAACGGGAAAGTAGTACTGCCACTATATGTCATTGCGACCAGCAGCTTGTCGTCACTCTCTAGATCTCGTCATGAGAAACATTTCTTCGGATGTTGTATCTTCATCGCCCATTTAATGCTCACTTGACGTTTACATAAGCATTTGTGCGTGTTTTTCTCTTTGAAAAATCTAGTGCTTTCAAGAAATAAATCAGCTAATGGCTGGTTGCAACTAATTATTCTCTGTTCACTCACAGTTTAAGAAGTCATGGGCTTAGCCTATTTCATATGTTTCTACTGAAGATCTCAATGCCAAGTAGACGTTTTTGGGAATATTTCTTAACTGAAAATTCAACATTTCCTTAGTGAATTTCATTGATCTTTTTCTGTGGGTGCACCCAATAATTTCAATATGTTTGGAGCCATTCTTATTTCTGAACCACAGTTCGTTTAAACCAATTCCTGACAACTTTACTAATTATTTGATGATAAACAGGATGTTTATAATGGTAGACAGCCCTATTATAACAACCTCACATTGTCAGTTAGTCATGCTATGATTGATTTCTCCAAGTCTATTTTTACTAACTATTGAGTAGTTTTATGTGATGTGTATATGCTCCTTGTAAATATGATTCATGCACCGAATAAAAATACGTGCAAATAAAAATTTTCTGTCTAATTTTTCTTAACACTGGTGGGAAATAATATTGCTGCCACGTATCATTATTTTGCAGGAAGAATTTTAGATAGCAAATGCTAAATCCATTTTCGTGGTTGTTTTCATCTTATTTGCTTTGAGCTCACTCGTATTCAGCTCTACTACTACTGGATCCATGTACACAGCACAAATTAGGCATCATAATGTCAACTTTCGTCTCAAATCGTGTTATGTAGAGTGTGACTTGCGTTTCTTCCCCTGATAATCAGTCATGCATTTTAAAATGCCTAGTTAAGTGCTTAATTTATTACTACCTGTAAAAGGCTTTTCAACAACCTTTATGAACTCATGTACATTGATTAGTCCCGGGAGAGTAGCTGATTTCATGTTGTGTGTTCCTGTGTACTAACCAAATCCGTTCTGTCATTTCTGCAATGCGGTCACTATCGCGATGCACTTAGATTGATGCTATGTAGTTAGGAGCAATCACCATGAGGCCGGTAACCTACGTTTAGTACTTGTTAGCATTCATCAGACTGGTTTCCTCTCAGACGTTGTAGTTACACCTAGCTGACAAGTGCTTCTTATTGACTAACTTCGACCGCCTAATAATACTCTTACGTATCTTATAGGTGAGTTCCAAATCGAGTTATTGAATATGCAACTTGCTATGAGTAATTCTAAAGGATTATACTGGATATGACCCCTCTTATTTTGGAATCAAGTCTTGATTCTGCAGGTATTACTGCGCATATAGGCTAGTCATCACCTATTCGAACTAACTGTGCAAACTGGTCATCTTTCATACAACCACTGCTTATCGTTATCCTAAAGAGCCTAGGAGGAACATAATTTCCGCAAACCTTTGACTTACACCAAACTTTGCATATTCATTTCCTAGTTTAGTCAGATTGGTCCATACAGATCACTGGTTAATATATCAGTTATCTTGAAGCTAATGATAGCTAGGAAATTCCTAGGTTTAATCATCAGCTTAGAATGTTTAGGTGAATAACTTGAACCGTTAGGCTGTAATTTCAGGTCTTATGATAAATTTTACTGATTGATAACTTTTTAAGGTATCCAGTTATTTTTCAGTAATAATATCGTATGGTCATTTTAAACAAGCAGTTCACTTATCTCACTTTACGCAGAGGTGTGGCTCACAGGAAAACACTTGGCTTTTGACCGATGTATCCCATTTGATGTGCTTGTGTCTGGGCGATCGTGTAGTATCAAAGGTGTGGTTCATAACCTACTACTTATTATTCGTGCCGGATTGAACTGAACTAATTATTATTTCCACCTGACTGTTATGAAGAGATTTTGCATTAATCGCAAGACGAAACGTGGGAGTCTTTCCTAATTAATCTAAGTTTAAGAGCTTCAGTGGATGCGTAATTCATCTACATAGACACTAGTTTTTTAGTGTTTCATGAGTTCAAATTCCATTCCACGTACCGAGGTTCAAATACTATCACTACTTAGTGCTGAAGTCCGCGTAGGCGCTGGATTACAAAAGAGGCCTCGAGATTATCATTTGTTCTATTAAGATTCCAATATCTAACTCGAGTTATTGGGGGCTTTGAGATTTTGACGATAAAAAGGCTTGTCCTGAAGGTATTTTTTTTGTCTAGTATGATATCATACAATAATTTAGTCTTTTTCTGTCCACTTCGCACGCGATTTTCAAGTATGGCGATTTAAAATGTTTCACTTCTGTGACTGATTTGTCTGCCTCTGTTTCTCCATGGAAGTGTCTTCTGTTTATTGTCTACTAATTTTTAGTTGTCAAAATGTACAGCAATCAGCTTAAAGTAGGTTTATCTGCTTTAGAACCTTCAAAACAGCTTCAGTGTTGGTCACAATCAGTAGTTTTTTCATATATATAGTCCCAAGCTGCCGGCGTCAAGTACACTCCATCTCTTAGCATCGGACCACTCAGCCTGATAATCATGTTCCAAACTTGTTTAATTTCATCTAGTCAGCACAAGGTAATATAACACATGTTCTTCAGTCAGTGGACACTGTAAATGTGGTCGTTTGTATCGGTCACTACGATGTATTTGCCTATCATCTCAATAAGTGATTAATAATTTCTGTTTATTCATGAATCCAGCTTTGATATACCTTCCCGAAGTAAGGTTGACGTCTCGTTGTTTCATTCCATAGATAGGGTCCAAGATATATTGGAGCTCGCCAAAACTTGAATATTTTGCTTTTGTTTGTGATAAATATGAATAATTAATTTGACGGATTCGCTTAATATTGACTGTTCCGCTTTTATCTGTTTTCCAGCTTCCCTCTGTGCCTCGTTCAAGCGCATGTGATGTAGATGCTAACAAAAATCAAAACAATACGAACTGTACAATTAGTTCCACCGTCCGTCCTGTCCCAACTTTGGTCAGTGGATTGACGAAACCTGTAGATAGTTTACTGGGTCCTGCAGGTTCTACAACCCGCACTGCTAATCCAAAGGGACCAGGGCTTTTGCCTACTCCATACCCTAATCCGTCACAGGCTGGTAATAAAGCTGCTGTCCATAACCGCAGCTTACCCTCAACCAGATTTCCCCAGTCTTCCAAGTGTGCTGTAGATAGTAATGAATTGCTTTCGAAAGATGTTCCAAGTTATACAGATGTACTTGTTGATTCTTCTGTTAACTTGGTATTGTCTCGTTTACGTCGGATACAGCGCAGTTTTGATAATTTGGTGGCAAGTAATCAGTCTGAGCTACAGTCATTTACTTTTACACAAAACAGGTGGGTTTTGGTTGCATAAGAATATATTCTTAGTTGGCCTAGATTCTTATTTATATCTTATAATCTTTCAAAATAGTGGATTAAATAATGTGTCCAGAAAGCGTGCTACCATTGTGTTATTTCATAAGGAGTGTAGGCAACTGTCATTATTCATCTAAAAATTGTAAAGTGGAAAAGTTCAATCAGATGTCAGTAATACTCTCCATTTCTTACTTCATTTGCAAATTAGCCTTGTGTATGTGCGTCCACATCGTTTTGACACGATATTCAGTCGTCAGTTATATTTCAGTATCTGGTGTGATCGTGAAACAAGTACACCCCACTGTATGGTGAATTATAGACCAATGACCGTTTCGAACCACAAGTTCCCCATAAAAGTTATAACTAGTAGCTAGCATTCAGTAAACAGAGCTGGTTTGTGTTAATTAGATGGGGTGCACTTGTTTCACGATCATACCAATCCAGACCTAAATTCGTTTTGTTCAAGGTAGGTTGTAAACTTTTGTCCCTTTGAAGTTGTCATCAGGACTAGCTATACAGTCTGATGTTTTCCTAGTTATAGCTGCTCGTGCTTTGATAGACATAGTTGAAAGGGAGCAAAATTTCTCAACCTACTTTTTCTTTGGAGTTAGATGGTTACGTTCAGAAAGTAAACAAGTCATGTCTTCGAGCTGAATTCTGTATGCTTCCGATTGAAGATTTTTGGGGATTTATTGATTTCAAGGTGGTATTGATCATGAACTTATATCATTTGGAAAACCATTGAGAACTTGCAATCACAGAGTAGTGTGCACCCATATCTCCACCAACTGATGTCAATCCATAATGAATACCACCTTGAAATCAATAAATCCTCATAAGCCTGCAAACTGAATTTTCAGTGCTCATTAGTGACATGCTTTGAGATGAGATTACCCCAAGTTCTAATGAAAAGTCGCGACCGATGGGGGGAACCAAGTTGGATGTGAAGACAAATACTCGACAGTAGCGTTGGATGAAGGTCGCAATATATAGCGGATCGATAGAAGTAGGAAGATGTGGACTGTCGGGTTCTGGTCCACTGGCTCAACGGTAACGAGCTTGCCGCAAAACCTGAGGGTCTTGGGTTAGATCCCTTGCTCGGTTTTGGGCGCTCACTGATGAGGAATCCCGTACTTGGATCGAACATCTGCCTAGTGCTTTCAGGTTTTCGATAGTTCCCCGAATGATGTCATTTCGTGATGAATACCACCTTAAAGTCTGTATGTTTCTGTTTCATTCTGAATAACCTAGTGTTTTCTGTTTGACTGAGTATGTGTTTAACAGTTTTCTAGGCGAAACTGTTTCTAGACATTATGATTGTCAGGAACAATTTAAAGTCTATGACAAACAAACGGATGTAAACACTATATGAATTGGTATAAATTGTCTACTAAGCAGAGTTGTAACACTTCACATCAACTGGAAAGAGACTATGAATCAAGAGAGGGAAAAGTTGGAAAAGTGGGGCTAACAGCTATAATAACAAAAAAGGTGCAAACGATAATTTTATCGAAGATTTATGGAATATACAGTAATCACATTTTCAATGACTCAAACGGCGGCATGGTGTGAATAGGTCAATAGATATTGTTTGCACAACCGAAAATGAACACCATATCTAAGAGTAGAACTACAGTAAGTGCCACTATTAAAACGAAAAGAAAGGCATTTAAATTAATGACAGATAGTAGCTAGAAGTGGAATCCACGGTGCACGTTCCTGTTTAGTGCTTATGAGCTGGATGTAAAAGGATCAACATAAAGGTATTTAAAGCTTGCAATGACGTAAAGAGTGATGGCATTTGTATTGTCACTATAAATCCTGAATAATTTGATATTATCTCTGTCGTGGTCAACGGAAATAGAGCCGTCATACTTATGTTTTAAAATTCATTGGCTGCTTGTAACCCGCATGTTGTGTTATCCTCACTACTTTATATCTGATAGAAAGTTTGTAATTCTGTTACATCTTTTTTATACAATTGACTTTATTTCATTATCCGAAAGTTGTACTGTCAGTTAAAAAGCAACTCTGTTTATTAAAAACCCATTCATCTGGACTTTTGTAGACAGTCACTACTTGACTGTAATGAGTCAAAAGATCATGAGTAAAACGTCTATTTGTTCACCCCAATGCGGTGATCGACACGATTTATTCTACGAAATTGCACGTCAACCTCTAACAATCAATTTATACTATCATGTCTCATTGATTCATTATACGGAAAACATGTTATAATGCCTACAGTTCACACAACATAATCCTGATAATCGAATGTGTTGAAAAAATGCAAGACTTTCAAATTACCTTGAGGAAAAATGTGTTCAATAATCAAATGATCAAAGTCTAGATGAGAACTTATTTCGAGTTCCTCTGGGTTTGAGTTTCGCCAAGTTTACCTTCCAGCTTTAATCATCAGCTCATCAATTACAAAGAACTTGCCAAAATGAAGCTATCGCAGATAATTTCACAAAATCTCGGCATTTGTTTGATAGCTTTTGTGTCTATGGAATGTTAAAATGCTACAGGAATAATGTTTACCAACACCTAGTCAATAGACTGTTAAGTAGTCGAATAAAGTTGATGACCTATCTTCAGAAGTTGTATCAGCCCTGATGAACTGGTTGCTTATTAAACCTTTAGGTTAAATCAGGGAGACGAATTTGTTTGTCAGAAGCTTACATCATATTTGATACCGGTGACTGTCTATCAAAAGTCGAGTATACTGCTACAGTTCTCTGTGTTCTACTGTTGTAGGTAACAAGTTTTCGATCACAAGTGTCTTCAACAAAACCGTATTTAGTTTGTATATTGCATGAAGAAAGTCATGTTAAACAAATCTTTATCAATCATCTTTGCAATAGTTATCATGAGCCTGAACTCATTAAACATTTCAACAATCATGTTTTTCTTTATTATGTATTGCTAAACAGCACCATTGTTAATATGTCTGAAAAATGTTTTACGATGGATGAACTGATACAATATCCAGATGCTGAGAATTCTGCACTGTAAACAAAACTATGGTCTAGAATTAAGAAAATATGTTATTGTTATTATTATTGTTAATATGACTTATGTGCGATGGAACCGCTTACTCAGCAATCTCGAGTTTAAACAGAGTTCTAAGGAAAAAAGACATCTTAGTCACTCATGTTGTGTAACTGTACCAGTGAGAATAGATGTAATGTGTTACGCAAAGCATTTAATCGTCTACCTCAATGCATTGTGCTGATCATAATGATATTATGATACAGAGATAAAGACGTGGCACTTGGTTGAGATTACTGGTTACACTTTTTCGGAAAGTTACTGGGATATGTTTCTGGGCTTTCATCAACCGAAGGATCTATCGTTTTTGCCACATACTCGTCCAGCTTGATGTGGTACCCTAAAAGGCACAGATACAAGCTTCAAAAGAAATAAACCAAGACGTGGGAATGATCGGTATGACCGTGCAGTATATATTCTGTGTGAGGAATGATTTTATTTGACGTAGTGTATTTCTAGATGCCAGCTAGCTATTTGTGAAGCTGTGACTCATTGATTTAGACATTCAAGTTCCAGCCAGTGCTCCACGAGTTTGATTCTCACTCCACCTACCTAGGTATGGACAGCCGGATAGTAACATTAACCCGCACACATTAGATGTGGCTTATTGCCTACTACAGAAGTAAGCATGTGATAGCTGAATGCATTTCATTTTCACTTAATAAGCAGTAAAGTGTTCTCAGAATGTCATCTTGTAGATAACACTCTATTATTGTGTACCATATCAGATTCGCCAATCTCATTTGGGATTACACTACCACAATACTCAAGTTCTATAGTTACATTAGAAGCACCACATTTTTCATACACCTGCAAGATATGAAAACCTGCGGTTAAATATCTTTTGAAGATGGTTAACAGTTTGTTCTCATGACCTAAGTCCATTCGTTCTGTCTTTAAATTGTCGATGCCTATTTCCTTTTTTTCACTTCTCTTGTTCCCAGTTAATCTCAAAATTCCCGTTGTTGTAATAATCTCTTTCATTGCGTTGTTTTATAAGTATACCAACTTCGATTATTTTATTATTGTTGACTATTTAAGCCATGAGTGTGAACCTTACGTCAACTATCGAGGTTGAGTGATCAGATATTGACATCAGCTTCCATACATAATAACATGCAGTTTACTGTCTACTGCACGAACCTGTATCTGTCTACTACAGATCATGAAAAGGGTTTAGTGATAAATAGAAATCTTTATTGCACTTACTATTACATTAGATGTGGTCTTCCTTCGAAACCGAATATGCACTATTTTCGCACACAGCAGGGTTTATTATCAAGGCTTACTGAAAATATGATAGCTCAATATTCTACACTGTACTGATTTGTTTCCCATTAAATTACTTCTCTATAAAATACAACCACTCATATACTGTTTACAAGGTCCTAGATCCTAAGAGCTATACCATTTCGACCAAGTTTGATCTTTTTTTAAAATAAAAAAATTAGTATTCACTTTGAGTTTTGTAAATGATTGTTGTAAGTTGTTTAATGTATATGCTATATGTTCTACTTGTAGTCAAAATGGAAAAAGAATGATGATGCGTATTCGCGTACTTGAACATGAAAATGAAGAGTTGGCCAATGTGAACCGTACCGGCCGAACTGCTCGCTTGGAATCCGAAATCGCATTGCGTCGTGCCTTTGTAAATGACTTAAAGAATGCTCATGCAGGTAGGTGTGAATGTTTGATTCAACTAAATATTCATCTGCAAATGTGACTTAAGCAGTTATTTTACTTGGAGATTAAGCAACTAAAGTAAATATATATTGCCAGGACTGATCTTCAATGGGACTCTATCTGACTATTGGGAGTGGAATAGTTGAACGGGTTAGCCACTTCACTTGCTTGGTGACTCAGTAACTGATAAAATCTGCACGAATACAAAAGGCTGTGTTGACATTTACCATCCGACACTTATGGCATCGCCGCGACATCCGATTGTCTATTAAGGGGGTGAGTGTACTGTGCTGTGGTTCACTGTGTTCTACTATATGGCTGTGAAATATGGGCATTGAAGGTAGAGGATACTAAAAGGCTTCTGATGTTTGACCACCATCACCTTCGGGACGACCGCACTAAAACATAGTATCGTGGCCTGAAGTTCTTGACTATTGGTTTGAGGCTTGTACTGAGATGCAGACTAGCCGGTTGGAGTCCATGCAACAATAGAAATTAGTGGTTGGATACTCTAGGTGATATATATATATAGTGTCAAAATGTTTCAACATCAATCTACGCTTCTATCTCTTCCAGTTCAGAACAGTGTGGTTTGATTTTTCTGTTGCTTCATTTTTCTCAAGAGATATAGCATAGCATATTTGCTTTGTCCCGCCCCATAACTGGCACATTGATGAGGTGGTTGGGCTTGTATATCACATCGACCAACCGAGGTACACTGGCTGGAACACTTATTCCCTTGAGGTCCTACTATGCCAGAAAGCCCTGTTGGATAGTGGTAAGACGAAAAGCAATTGCCGTTGTAGTGTAAATTGGTACACTGTTATGGAGGTCTGCGGGCGAAGTCGTGCTGGTGACTAGATGGAGTGTTGCAGCAGAAGCGTGTTTCCCTTGGACGACCGACAGTGCAACAATGCGGCCGCCAAAATAGCACACTCCTTCCTGCTCTATAGTCTTCTGGTATTGGCGATAATTGGTTTAGTATGTCAGGCACTGGGACAACGAAATTTCACACCAACAATCCGCAAAGGGCTGTCCCGTGGGCTCTACAGTCACAGTGATGTTTTTCTCCTTCAGGTAGTCTAAGAAGAAAGTAGCTTCCACGGTGTGAGCAGCCGAGAAGTGTCAACCGCTCTCACAACTCCGTCAGGACTGAAACTTCCTCAGATGGCTGTCAACCTCCAACATCCTTACTTTCAAATCTTCCCTTGCGTCTCTCAGTTCGTTATCTTACATCATTAATTTCTGTCTGCTCTGCATCTCTCGACAACGGTCTCATTTCACGGAACAGCATACTTGGTCTCGTGAAACCGCACTCCAAATTACACAATGGAGCTTTCAATGTCCCAACCCTTCGTCAAGTCTTCCAACAATCTTCACTAGTCACTTGGATCATGAATATATGCTGTGTTTGTGATACACTTATACAGAACATGTGTGGTTATTCACTTAGCCTCACCCAGCCATCATGGTGAATCCCCAAAATTCCCCCCCTCGACTGTCGGGAGATTGATTGGCCAGTCCTCGCAGTCTTATGTGTGTAAGGATAGCATTGAACTCTATGGCAGAAAGTTCTCTACTCGACTGGATCCAAGTTAACAGTCACCATTCGACTGAACGGCACAGTAAGAACAAAAAGGAATAGTAAAACTCGCCATTGTCTCTTTTAATCTCCATTTACCCTGGGTTCTACGTTAATTCAACCAGTTAGTTTACGCACCCACTGACTGCAATCTTAAGTGAAGATTGAGTTTTATCAAAAACTAGCCTCCTATTGAAAGTCGAACTTTCAGATGTGGTTGTCGTTGGAGGTGATTTCAATGCACAACTTGATGGGCTAAGTCAGACGGTAAAGATTTTAGCTGACACTTTTGGAATCCCTACTGAACGAACAGATAACGGTGATCGCCTGCCACAACCGTGTTCAGGTAACTGTTTACTTCTAGCAAGCACAAACGTCAAACTTGAAGAGAGACACTACCTGATGTGGAGTTCCCTGAGCTCAACTCAACGATGGACACAAATTAACCACATTACTATCAGAGTTATCTCTGTAGAAGGGCAGTGGGAGACTGTCGCTCCCTCTGAAGCACGTATCGGAACTGAATGACGTCAGTCATCTAGAAGAAGCCTAGCACCACCCCTATTCGGCTGTAAAAATAGCGTTGAAGGCCGTAACCAACTCTAAGAGGATGTTTAAAAAGCCCAATGGATCTCAGAAGCTTCTGAATGGATGGATGCACGCAAACGCATCCTTTCAGGGTCTGGACACTATAAGAACGGAGTGCAACTCAAACGTAAACTCTCAAAAAGTCTACGTAATAACCATGAAAAGTGGTAGGCAGCGAAGGCTAAACGGATGGAAAAGGCAGCGGCGACATAAAACAGTAGACAGTGATTTAGACTTATTAAAGAAAATGAAGCAGAAAGGTTAGTGACTAGTGGGACTGTAGCGGAGAAGGATAGGTTTGTGGTTCACTCACAGGGGAAACGTATGTGATGAACGGAACACTTCGAGGAATAGTTCAACTGACCAGCTACTATTGCGTTCCCTGCTAACCAGTCGGAGCCTGAATTAAACATTGAAAGAGGACTTCCAACAGATGCAGATGTCGAGAAAGCTGATGTAACCTGAATCGAGAAACGACAGTCGACCCAGACGGACTAGTTCCAGAGACATTTTAAGACGGGGGTCGAGAGGTTTTATTCAACTGAAGTGGTAACCAGTGTGTGGGAGCCAGATACGATCCCATCTGACTGGTCTCAATTACTGATTGTCCCACTCTTCAAGTAAGTTAGGAAGTCGTCGTGTGATTACCACAGAAGAATCAACCTGACGAACATAGTGCATACGGTTCTGTGTTCATTTGATGTCTGACTGGGGCTTAAGAACAGCAACCCCCAGAAAACAAGGCACCCTTCAGACCCAGTCGTGGGTGTATCTACCAAATACTCACACTCCGCCGGGTTTTGGAGCATAGGCACACTCCAACGCCTGACACTAGCGATATTTCTCTACTTAAACGCGGCGTTCGACTCTGCCGGTCAAGTGGTCATATGGCAGCGTCTCTCACAAAATGGTGTGCCGCGTAGGTAAGTTACTCTGCTGAAGTTTACGCAGGAATGCCGGGTTCTACCTTGATGTCGATTGATTGACTGACTTCCAAACGTACTAGCCTTCCATAGCGTGGGGGACGCTTGAGTAAGAGAACGGAGGCATTCGGAAGAGTATCTTTTGCGGTATTACGGAATCTCGTGCCAATAAACCAAAAACGTTGATCGTCTGTTGCGATTTTTATGTCACAGTTATTTGTTTCTGGTCTACACCAGCTTCCAGCATGAGGAGAGCTACTGTCTCATATGGTGTCCGTCGACATCAAACCAACGATAGATACAGATGTATCATACTACTGTGAGCCGTCGTTGGAGGACTAGTGATCTTTCTGGGGTACTTGTTTGGGCTGCGATTACTAGTTAGTACGGGCTGGTGCATGTCTGTCCTACGGAAAAGTCAGCTAAGCATTTACCCGAACGTGACAGCAATATTCATCCTGAGAAACCCAATGTGAAACTGGGTCTTCTATAGAAACAGCGGTAAAGACAATTGGTAACGTATATCCGATGGTGTGAAAAAGTCATTGGATTTCGGCGACGTGATCGGAACTAATTGATGCGTGAAGATTGGTTCCAGCTGGCTTTGAGCATAATGTGGGTTGAAAGAAGCTAAAACTAAACTGACCAAGAGTTTTCGCAATGCTCGCGTGCAGTGGTGGATGGCGAAAGCTAGAGAGATGGGGAGAGGTATTAGCATTAGCTATAGCAAGAAAAGGGATTCCAACATCAACGTTAAACAAAAATATTCATGGTTTAGAAGACATCAAAGAGTGAATACATCTGCACCATTGTGACCGAGTTTCAGCGATGTGACCAGGAGTACTCGATTATTGCTCCTTATCTTGAGGACTACTATCAGCTAGTCTGCACTTACGCCCATACACGGCTCAGACTAACAGTAGAAGGTTTCATGAACTGGTGTTACATCTTCGTGTGGTCAACTTTTTTCCTCTCCCAACCTATTTCAACTTCTCCAAGCATTGCACGTCAATGTAGGCAGTGGCAGGACGTGCGTGCCACTTGTTCAAGTCACGTCAGTCGGTGAAGGTTCACAACTTCATCGATTGACTTTCTTTCATTACGTGGAGTACCCTTCACCGAACCTTGACAATACTCATGATGATTTCGTCACACGGGAGCAATTTAATGAAAATGCCCGTGTTCAACTCCTTTCATTTCTCCCAGTTTATTTGGAAGGAGATGAATCTTGTGCAATAATTGGGGAACGAGTTTGACTAACATCGTCCCAAGGATCCTACGGTCCTTAGTTATCTGATAACCTGACTGAAGCCCGAGAAAGTCAGGCAGGTTTCAAAGCTGGACGAGGGTGCATGGATCATACTTTCACCCTTCGACAGATTATGGAACGCGGGCATACCTACCTGCGGCCGACACTTTCCATATTCGTTGACCTGAAGGCAACATTTGACTTTGTCGAAGGCGAGGTATTATGGTAGTATCTGACTGAAAGGAATGTCGCGGTAATCTAATGATGCCGCGAAATGACTATCTACTATCACCTGATATTTTCGACTTTTGAATACAATATCTTCAGTCATTCTAATCAAATCTGCAACACATTTGTCATTTACCTTCTATTTTATTCGTCAAGTGACTGCAACTTATGTAATTTATTCACCACTGTTTTCCCCTTTTTTTCAACGCAGATATGGAGTATTTGGTTGAGGAAGCCGAGACCGAAACCGAAGTGCTTGGAAGTTCTCTAATGATGTTGCAACAAAGACTACAATTAACTCAGGGCACTGCTGAGTTTCTGGCGTCTGAGCTAGAAAAAATTGAATCTGAGAGTTGTGTACAAATATTGGGTCCAACTACTAACGCTAGTGGTGATAATAGCCTGTTGGATGACAGAAAACCGGATAACGACTGTAGTTTTTCACCACACCAATTTCATGATCCTCGTGATGAAGGTTTATACGATGAAGAACTTATTTTTAATTCTGAAGCAGGAATTGGTGTACTATCTTCTGATTCTTTACAATCTGAACAGATAGAGTTGATGACCAGGGATGATCCATCAAAAAGCGGAGAGTATAGTTCACGTGAAACTGAAACAAATTGCGAGAGTGAGTCACGCACCTGTATCCGAAGTCGTCGCAAATTGGAAAGGAACAATTCCAAAGATGATAATAGTCCCTATAAGTCAAAGCGTAGTCGCATTTCAGGTAATTATAATGTTTCTTCCGATGAAAAATGTAAAAGTCACATGGACTCCTTATCGTTTCTGCCTACACCGTTGTCTAGGCATGATACACCTACTACAGAGCGGACTAAAACACGCCCTGTAATTCCTGTACGTGGTCCACAACGGACGTTTCAGTCAAATCGTGAGCATAATGCTCCACGTATTCAAACGAAGTCCGTTTTATCTTCCCCACCACTTTTATTTGAATCCGTTGCCACTGAACTTCTTAAATCTTCAAATTGTAACAATCAGCTATCTGTTAGTTCGCCAGCAAATCTTCTTGTATAAAGTCTTTCACATCGAATCATCCTAATGTTATTGATGGTTCATCTTCTTGAAATATCTTTGTGTAGATTTATCTATTGTCAGTTTCCAGTTTATCTTCTTCTCTATTGTCTATTCTTATTACTATTGATATTGTTATGCGTGGTGTGTGTGTGTGTGTGTGTGTGTGTGTGTGTGTGTGTGTGTGTGTGATGTTATGGAATGTGGAGTGTGGTAGATTGTCGTTGTTATTGAAAGTTTCCTCCACTTTCAAATTCCATTGTTCTTTGTCACCTTTACCTTATGATTTTTCAATGTGAACTATTACTTACCAGTTATAATAATCAACAGTAATCGTTTATTCCTGATAAACTTCCTCGTTTTGATATATAGAATGTATACTGTCTACTCTATACACACTACGGCTGTTCGTGTGTAAGTAATGAATGGAAAAAAGAAATTCCTTGACAAAATAACTAGCTATATTATTTGAACTAGATAGTTAAGTTTTTTTTTACTATTTTGTGTAATACTCATGCTAGTCTGAAACGGATACTCACTACTATTGCATTGAATTGTGTTGGTTTGATTTAATTGAGTTGAGTAAGTCACGCTATTATTCCCGTTATTATATATCATCCTGGTAATTATTTTAGCACAACTGATATTATTATTATTATTATTACTAGTGATCATTGCATTTATGTTGAGCAAAATATCTAAATCTATCTTTCTATCTGTATATACTCAGAAAGAAAGTGTAGTACAGAATCCCCCCCCCCCGGTGATGCAGAACAGAAGAATGAGATTTCTCTTACTACCTCTCTATACGCATATATGCGTGTGTTTCTGTGCGTACATTAACTCAATATGATAATGTTTGACTAAAAGCATAAACATCAACATACAACACTTATGCATAATATACACGAATCAACAGATGATATATGCATACAAATCTTCCAGCTGTTAATTACACCATACCAATCATCACTTCTATAAAAGTGCTTTCATCTGCTACATGAACAGTATAGTTGCCTTTGACAGAACTGTTCGTGTTGCACTTATTATTTGAATTATTCTACCGTTCCAAATATTCCTTTTTTTTTGACTTATCATAATTTATATTACTGGGTTGCCTTTTTACGCAGTATTTTTATAATTAGGTTTTTCCAATTTATATATTTTTTGATTATTTTTTAAAAACGTTTTAAAATTCTCCTTTTTTTAAAAACCAATTTTTCGGGCGCTTTTATTCTTCATCTTTTGAATGTTTCATAATAATGTTGGTATTTTGTTGATACCGATGAACATCCATACTGAAAAAAATTGTAGTGAAGGATGAAAAGTCGATCTCGGTTAGTCGATGTTGTGTGTCACCTTGAACTTGTGAGTGAAACATGGGTGACACAGAAATTTCATCCCATATTTCATTGAATTCTCAATTGCCCATTATGTTTGTCATATAGGAAATCCAATGGTTCTGAATAGACTTGAAGTCTCTTGACCTATCTTAACTCTGAACAACGCCGACTCTAAAAGGACGCAGTCTTTTACCAAAAATACGCGTTGTTCAGAAAACTCCTAGTAAGGAATCAGGAAAACAACAGTGTAAATTCGTACAAGAAGTTTAACACTTCTAAAGACAGTTCCACAGAATGAGACAGTTTTGCTGAATGCTTTTGGACTCAACTTGTAGTCCACTACTTTATCAGCGCAACTCAATAGTTTTAAGATCTGTTTTTAATAATCCTGAATGTTTCCCACAGCGAATACATGGTGTAACTGGAAAATTGTCTAGTTAACACTATTTTGTCATATTTAATCAGAAAACTTGTTTACAGTTTCATTCACTGTATTTGGTATCTAGCCTCATATCAACAAGAAATCTTTCATAGAATACAGAAACGCATGTTACCAGTTAGCAAAGTTGAATAAACATTTATAAAGTGCCACACAAATGTTCCACAGGATAAACAATCTTCAGCTGCTTAGGAGGATTTGACACTGGTCTTCAAAGTAATTTTTATCTCTGATGAGTCTTTCAGTTTCACTTCTTTTCACGAAATTAAATTTTTTGGTATAATAGTGTGATTCGGATATTTAATTCAATTTAACTGTTTTAATGCAGTGTAGATAAAATACCTTGGTACCGTTTCATAGTTGCAGTTGGGTCAACCGAATAGTTTGGTGGATAAACGCTGTCGTAGAAGGATGCAGTTACACTCATCTCGTAAACTGTTAGAAAGCAATTGAGTAGCCAACTAAATGGATTGGAGCTCTGTATTTGTGTGGAGCTTTGGCTCACTGGTTTACGCAGTTGACTTTCACCCATTGGGTCACGGATTCAAACGTGGTTCCACCTATCGAGGTTTTGGCAGTCAGGTAGTATCCTTGGCCCTCACACAATAGGTGACTCATTGCCCACTGTACGAATGTACGCAAGAATGCTGAGTGCATTTCAGTTCTCTACATTTACGTGACGTAAATGGGGCATAATATATTTCTGTTATTTGAAGTTTTACTTTCAAATTAAGGTTGGAATGAATATGCCAGTTTCACTCGGTATTTGTGTGGAGGTTTCGCAAAGGTATCCACCAAGATTTTAATTATAAAATCATTTTCGGTAGCAACCTGATCAAATTACTGGCGGTCTGAAATGCATGGTACCATAGTTAAGGTTATCCATATTGTTTTGCGAAATCTGGAGTCAAAGAAACACTCTGTTATGAATTGATTAAACTTTTTAAGGTGTTATTCACATCAAAAGTTACATTATCTTTCTGATTTGTTGGTACGCTAATCGACATGATTTTTTGCAAAGGATTCCATTCATTCGCACATATTGCTTTTCGATTTCAAACACTCAATAGAGTAGATGCTAGAGGTCTATGGGTAAAGTCTGTAGCTTATTTTATCGACCAGAGGTTATTCTAAGTATTGAATGTTTTTGTGTTTCTGAAAAAATGGAAGTATTTCGGCTTAAGTGGCTTAACAGCATATCATTTCGAACGACATTCAAAAACACCAAACCGAAATACACAACAACTTTGTGCACGATTGTGTAGCAGGCATTGAGCTGCACTTTTGTCGAAGGGGTAATTCTTAGACCCGACCTTGCAAACCTGCAACCCACTGGTTGAAACCACTCCCTGAACCAATGATACATCAGTACAATTATTCACTGATCTGTCATCTGTGATTGACAATTTTCATCCTATTCTAACAACTCTTCAGCATCACTACCCAAAACCATTTGTGAGGTTGGATTAAGTGGCATTCTATTCAGCAATTATTAGGGTGATTTCATTACTGGTAATAAAATAATCACTTGGACAGCTGACTCTGTTTAACGACATTTAGATATGTATGCAGAAAATTGGATTGTCTCCTGATGTTGAGCGTACCACTAAGCTTTGTCTTATTCCATCTTAAACTTATTGAGATATATCATGCAAAGACACGATATGATGTGTTTCTCCTCCATGGTAGCGGAACCACAAAGAAAACTACTTTGAATTTAATCTTTGCGTTAAGTGTATAGCAGTAATTCACTTGATGTGAAATCGTGCTAACTATGAATTGTTCTGAAAAAGCTTTAGCATCATGAATTATGCTAAATAGTTAGGGCGTAAACATTGTGTCACTTAGTGATCGTACAGACGTTGAACTCACGTTCAGACTGAAATAACTGATTTACCACTGGTAAGTGGATACTGACTGAAAGGTGGATGTATTGGTTCCTAATAGTTGATTAATTATTTTCTTATTTTACGAACCTAATCCAATACCCGAATTTAAAATTTTTGTTTCCCCGTCTGAATCCATTTACCAGTTTACCACTGGCTGCTTTGAATTCAGTTTTGTATCCCGTTTTGTGTCAATGATTCCTCCTTAATAATGTACATAGTATCTCAAGACAAAACATATTTTGTAATTTAGGTCATCTCTAGGAACAGGTAAGATAAATTATCAACGTTTAGAAAACTGGAAGGGTTATTATGTACTTTTTGTTATCAATATTATTGAAGGTTAAAGTCACCTTGTATTTTGCAGCATGATGTACTCAGTTTATTTTTGTCTGATATTCCTGATAATCTTCAAGTAAAATCAAGGTGGGATCTTGCGCATAACTGCATCGTTTCAACTTGTCGTACTTCATAGTAGCGTGCAAACAACAGGTTGGTAGGGAAATAATGTTGTGGAAGTAGACAACAATGTGTGGGAGGCCAAAGGATTTGAAAACGAGGTCAGTGAAACTGTTCAAACTTTAGAAAATGCAACAGAGTAAACATAACTGCACCATTGTAACCGATTTTCAGTCATGTCACCAAGGGTCTCCAAACATTGATTCATGCTATCTTGCAGACTTTCTTTAGCGGTCTGCAATTCCCTTCACTGTGTAACTTGGCGAAAGCCAATCAAGCATTTTGTGTCCGTGCCTAGATTCCATCGGTCACTGACCCATAAGGACTGCTCCAACATCTCACATAAGTAAAGTCAACACACTTCTCCCCTCCCTAATACTCTACATCTGATTGCTGTATTACTGACGCGATGATACTACAGCGCACGACTAACGCTGCGGCAGCAACAGTGGTCACACTCATGAAGCCTTTTCATACCCCCCATCTTAAGTGACTATGTTTCACAACTAAATAGTAGAGTGGGAGCCCAGTACACTTGACCCTTGATAGACAATCAGGTGTTACAGTGATACCGCTAAACGAGGTAAGTTGGCGAAGACCAGTAGAGCTTTCGTATCCGTGCTGCAATTATATCCTTCTTTACCCCACTAGGACTGATTTGATTTACCAGGTAAAGAAGTAGTGAACCATTTAACTTCCTATCGTTGAACCAGAAACTAGCAAATACCGGTCCTGGAGCAACCATTTTCAATGGGGTGGTGAGGAACACAGCCCAAACATTTTGAAATTGCCAATCGGTGTCCAGAAGGTTTCATCTTGTCGGCGTCTTTGCCTGACAGGACTGAATCATCTGGGTAGGAGTCTCCTATGATAGGGCCAACTACGGTGGAGAGAACGAAACCCATATAAGAACGTATGCGACGAAATCGAGTAATAATGAGAAGAGTAGACATCCCAGATGGACGCCATGTGACCAACGTACACAAATTACCTGGTAACTCAACGTAGGCTGTGAAATGCACATGAGATTTCGAGTACAAAATCCTCAACAGGGTTATTTACTCACTTGGCACCCCTTTCAGTGAGAGACACTGCCATAAGACCTATCAACTAACGTAGTTGGATGTTGCCATCAGATCGAGACAAGGTTCTTGTCAGGTGTCGATTAGTGTGTCTCTGTTGCAGAAACTAGCGGAGAGAGAATGTCTGGTCAATATGCCCATGATGTCTGTGACGAATCTGGTTATTTCGGGTTTCTTGTTCCTGATCTTCACTTGAAGACCTCTGATAATTAAAGAACCTGGAGTCTTAGACATTTTATCTGTCAATCTGATTTCCCTGCGTTTATTGCTAAGTAATCCACAGCCACTTGCCCTAAGTATCTCCAGTAAATAGCCCATCTGGCAATATTACCCTTCGTCGTTTCAGCTCACTTACAGCCTTTTCAACTTTTGCAAGAGTTGAAGACTATATCTGGATGGATAGCTGCTACCTTGACCCAACGAGCTATGTTAACTGGGATGCTTATTCCCTCGAAGTTTTACCACATTAGGAAAGTCTGTTTGATAGTTGTAAAACAAATAGCATTTACAATCACGGTGTAAATTACTACGCCAGGATACGGGTCCGAGGGCGAAAGAGTACTGCTGTCTTGATGGGGGTGTGGTAGCAGTAAAGCGTTTCCCTTGGATGACTAGCAGTACCATTCTGCTGCCGCCTTTCCAGTGGGAAAGGAAAGCAGTTCGAAAAGACTGACCCGTAAGATAGCACACGCCTCTCTGTCCTACGGTCTTATATAATAATCAAATCCTACTAAGGCATCGCTCACCAGAACTCTGAAATCTCGAGCCATGGGTAGATTCTATTTGTGGGATACGGTTACAGGACTTGTGTGTAGTTATTCACTTGACCTCACTTTGTCATTGCAGTGAATCTCCAAAATTCACGTTATGTGTATTCAGATACTGAATGGGCAGTTGGTAAATTGTCTGGACTTGACAATAGTGCTCACCGTCAGGAAACCTGATGTGGTGTTAGGTGTATTCTAGAAGCAGCGGTAAAGACCGTTGGTAACCTACATCCAAATGTAAACAAACGTCAGTAGACTTCAGCCACCCCATCCGAATTGACTGATGCGAGAAGACTTGATTCCGACCACAACAAGGAGCAAAAGCAATTTAAGCGTAGATTGACCAAGTCTTCACATTGATCGCAAGCAGTGGTAGGTAGCAAAAGAGATGAGGAAAGCTTGTGGTACTACCCGGCAATTACATAAGCGCACTAAGGATACCGGCATGAAGGAGAGGATGGTTAGGGAAATCACCGAGAATGATAGGACGTCAATAACCTCAGGGCAGACGGCTAGAACTACAGGCAGAATGCTTGAAGTCTG